ATTTGCAATTGTTGATTGGTTTGGATTATGATTCTCCTAGTATCTTATTCATAGAGGAAACCTAGCTTAACGATTAGGAGATAGCTCTTTGATTCCAATTGATAGCTCTTATCATTAGTCTTCACAACCATTGATTAGCTTAACCTCCCCAAGTTGTTGCAATTGTCATTATTACTTGTTAATCCGCATTCCCTAGTGTTTCATTTGTTTGCTTATCTTATTTGGTAGATTATTAGTGTTAGTTCACCCTATTCTTCACTCACGACTTCATTCTAGCTTAGGCGCACATTGGAAATACTTAAGCATAACCGTTCCTAGTGGTTCGACCCTTAACTTACCTCTATACTTGTATTTAGGTTTGTTGAGTGATTATAAATTTTGTTTGGCTCTAGGGAGGATTAGTCAACGACCTAGTTTTCCCTACGTCAATCTGTTTAGAATCATGCCTAGGATCTTACTACTAATGATATTTTAAAGATGATGATTGCGATGTTTATTATTATGAAAATTATATGTTGCTTGATTATCAATGATTTATTGCTATTGCTTGATCACACCCCTTTCTTGCAGGTTTTAAGGGAATTTGTAATCGAAATCACGCCTAATAAGATAATTAATAATTGGATTTAGGTTTAATATGGTTTTAATTCAAGTGATCACCAATATTAGATTTAATTGTGCATTAATAATCAACCAACATAGATTAAACAGGTTTAGGATTAATTTGATGTATGTATGTTGATTGAAAAGCGCGCATGAATATCGATAAAAATCAAGTAGAGCCCTATTTTAGGGCGGGTTTGACCTCTTTGAAGGTTAAGTTCATACCATCATTCTCGAAGATCCAGTCATGGTTCCAGACCACTATGGAGTTAGCAATCTCTGTGATTGTGAATGGGGTGTAACCTTCACAATCGTGAACGGTTTACAAGTTCCTAAAACTTGTTGGCGACTCTTTTTCTCTAGATTCTTTCCTAAGATTGCCGGCATGCTTACAAACATGACCCACAGTAGGGCGAGATGATGAATTCCCTATAACAAGAAACCTTACAGCTCAAATCATAAACTATGTCAAAGAGATGTACTTAAAAAGTTCCTTGTAATATATGAGAATTTTTCTTGAGCGCATATGTCACTCATAGCCTTAATTCTTACATCTGAAAATACAGAGATATCCTTTGTAAATTGAGAAAACCTTGGAGATTTCTTAGTAGCCTCAATAAGGTCAAAAAGCTCAAACTCAAGCTTGTCCAAAGCATTTGCTTTAGCAACAGAAAGATATAAAGCAAATGCATAATTCCCAGAACCTCCAAACATAGCAAAACTGATGATATATCATTAAAGAACACCAAAAAAACATAAAAGATGAGAAGCATGGACTTAGATGTAAGTAAGAAATGTCAATGCCTACATTTAGCAAGCAAAGCTTATACAATAGTGTCTTTCCAAAAGGATGTTTTCGATCTGCTGAGGTCAGACATTTTACAAAAGTATGATTGCATAAACTATGAAGCCATATTAATAAGTTTATTTTGTACCTTATTATAAGGTAAAAAAAATGCTCTTACACTATCAAAGGGAGCCTCGATAATTTAATGCATGGTGAAAGCCATCAGATTCAATGAGGACAATTTAAAGTTTTCCAAGTATGGACTTAAATCCAAGCTATTCCATTACTTAAATCCCTTATGTAACAAATCACTAGCTTATAATTCCTTGCAAATGACTAGTCCAAGCAAACAAAAGGATTCCTCGCATATGTATATTCCAAGCAAACAAAAGGTTTGTGATAAAGGGAGGAAAAGAAGAAATCAGAAGGGATGTTTCATAGTATAGCACAAACCTCACTCTGTACTAATTGAACACAAATTTTGTCAATACTTCTCTAACCATCTCAGCTTCGAACATGAATGTGGTAAATATAAGGCTCATTTCTTTTAATAAAATTTGCTTCTTTTTTCTTCACAGTAATTTTGTAATAGATATTACCTCCAGAAATTAAAAACAAAGTGAAAAGTGAATAAAAAGGTCCTATATATATAATAGATTTCACTGAATTTATCAACATTTGTTTCAAAAGATAATTTTTAAATTGTGTATACAAGTGTATAATATACAATAACACTTAATATAAAAGCCACTTTTTCTACGACTTAATTTGTATGTGATTTAAAGTAGCTTAAATTATTTATCTTTGTACAATTCGACTAGAGCCTAGCTACCGAAAAAGTAAATTAAAAGCAATATAGATATGTTACTTTATTATGGTCTTAGCTCGCTTGCTTAATTCCACAATGCTAATTAAGTCCTATTTAAATAAATCTTTATGATTGCTGAAGGATTAAAGCACCAAGCCATTAAGGGACATGGACACTAGTTATCATACACTATCTGAAGATATAATATGTCCAAGTCTTCGAAGAATTGAACAAAATTTGAAAAGTCATCAGCTTATGTATAACTCAATAGCAGTTGCATTTACCACTTTGCTAGAAGGTGTAACTACTGGGTCTTGCTATGCTGGAATTGATATCGATCATTTTTATTTCCTTGTGTGATCTAATGCTTGATTATTCCTGAAAGCCACAAGCGAGCAAGGGTCATAACTAACAAAAGTACTCTTTCAACCTAAAGAGCCTAACAATCTCTACCACTGATTCTAAGTGATGGAACCCTCCCCACCCCCACCCCCACCCCTACCCCCACTCCCAAGGAGGAAAAAATAGGAAGATGTCATAATTACTTTACATCTGCGAAATGAAGCATGAATTGAAAGCAGATCAATTGAAAACTCGACACACAATACACACAAAATTAAAACGTACATTCATGATAGAACAGAAGAGTCAGCAATTTCTATCCTCATCTAAAATTCAAAATCAAAATCACTAAGAATTTCTAGAAACATCTTCAACTCATTTTGGTTTCTACTGACATTTCTTTTGAACAAAGTTTCTCCCATGGCTGATGGCTCCTAAATTATTTCATTGCATCTTCCTCCTTCCCACATACGTCAACACATTTTATGGGTAAAGACTGACCATTGTGGTGCTTAATTGCTTATTCAGTCAATTTAGTGGTATAGCTCTCATAACCTGAAGTTGCCAGCTCTAATTCTAAGCCTAACCATTCTTTTTGTTAATCTTTGACTTTTATAAATAAAGTCAGAGAGGTAGTTAGCTAGGTAGGTATTATTTTCTTCTTTTAGACTTTATATAAAGTAGGTTCAGTTCTTTAATTTGAAAAATACTAATAAGCATTGTTTCAAGCACATTAACAAGTTTTCCCAAGTTGATGATAGGAGCAATGAGAATTAAAAGGAATTTCCAAACAAAAAACTAACACCCATTTAATTCATAAGATAGATTATCTCCAAATCTAACAGATGATAAGTCGCCTTCAAGAGTGTAAGGCCAATACATATCTAAAGCTTCAGAGGGGATACTGCTTAATAATTCAAAGTTAGGAAAATCATATTCAATAACCTACAAGTCTCTTCATCTAAATCCTAACATCAGACTAATTTTTAGTTAGTAAAACAAATCATCTAGGATCACTAACAATGTGTTAACATTTAAACCTTCTCCATTCAATAAAAGCAGGTGCAACTTCTACAAGATCATTACTTAAATAATTACACATGGTAGTTCAACCAAAGCCATAGAATATAATAAATCATTAAGAAATGCAACTTGGATTAATACTGAATACCATTCCTAAATATTACTACCTCCGTTCCTCAATAGTTGTATCATTTTGACAATTTACACTATTCTTAAACTAACTTTGACCACATTTAGGAGTAATATATAAAAATAAATTATTGCCTTTACCAATTATTGTTGAGTCAATCTCAATATATTTGTTATCAGCAAGGAACGTCTTATTTTTCAAGTGTCAAGACCCCAATGTTAGCCCCTGTTACATTGCTGATTACATTGAATCAAACAGCTATCATAGAGGTAGTTCTACAAAGTCATTGTTCTTGTCAATCTAATTCAATACCAAAGTTTCACTAACCCATCATCATCATCTACCAGTAAGTAATGCATGCAAAATTAGTCAACTAATTAGACCAATCACTATTTCTCAAAATCAAATCAACAACTAAATTAAAGTAACAACAAGCAAAATCTACCAAAATGAAAACCATCAAAACAAACATAAAATCAAATCAAAACTACAGAATCATAAACTACAAAATTATTCAAAAAGATAAAGGGCAGAAATTTACCACTGAAAGCAAGGCCATAACAACCAACAACACAAGTCTTGACAGAAAAACCCAATTGATTAAGCACACTAGTCCATGATTTCACAAAGAATAACACTAATAACCAAGCAACAACATTGAAAAAAGGGATAATTCCAACAGTCAAATTCAATTTTTGGGTAATTATACAATAAAGAGTACCCAATAAAGCACTCACTACTAATCCCCTTATAGTAATTCAGGAATTATCTCTTCAATTGGGTTTTTTTCATGGATTTTTCTCTCTGATTCTTCGATTAATGGCTACATGAGACTACTACAAATTCGCAAATACCAATTGACAAATAGCAGAGAAATTAATAAAATATGTACCAATTTATTTTATTATTTAAAAATTTGTAAAACCCTAAAAAACCCTAACTTCAACCGCTTTCAAAACCCTTAAAAAATTCCAAATACCTAACTTCTACAACGAATTTTCATTTTATATTAACAATTTTATACTATAATTAGATCAAGTCTTCGAAATAACCTATTTTAATACCACTTTTTCCCAGATTCAAGATACCAATCAATTCTTTCCCAATTTCAAGATACCATTCCATTTGTAACATCAAAAACCCTACATTAAACTATATATTCTATTAATTAATAACCATTTTCCATACAATTACTCATATTCACACAAGTAATAAGACAAAATTAGTCCAATTTCCCCAAATTACCCAAATCGCATAAAAACCCTAACTTCGAAATAACATATTGAAATAACTTACTCGTACGGGGGAAGATTTCCGGAAAAGTACTTAGATTTCGTCGGAGTTTAGATCGCCGTTCGATTTAGCTTCTCTCTTCGCCGTTCGCTTTATCTTCTCTCTTCTTTGAACTGAAAGGGTTCTGTTCTGAAAGGGTTTGGTTTTCTCTCTCTTCTTTTAATTTTTGAATTGCCCCTTTTTTTTTTTCTCTCTCTTCCCTTTTAATTTCGAATTGCCTTTTTCTTTTTTTTTTTATTTTATTCTTTAAAATTTGCCAGCCGACAAGTTCCGAACAAGAGAATCCACCACTACAGCTTGTGCCTTTATAAAATGTAGAATTACTAATTTACCCTCCCCCCGAGGCCTTTAGGCATGAGTAATGCTCAACTCTAGCAAGTCCCATAACATAAAAAAGAAAATTAGAAAAAAAAAAATATCATATCTAAAACTTAGAATTGACAGTTTGACACCAGGCAAAGAGACAAATAAAAGGGAGTAAATAATTTGTCGACACCAAAAACAATCAAATCTCACTCTTTCGTGCTTCTTTCTACCGGCGACACAATCTTCACGCTTTTTCCCTACCACCGATCATCGGCATTTACCCCCTTTTTTCTCTCTCCTCTTCAATTTCCCAATTCTAAACCCTAATCTCTCTCGTTTAATTCCTGAATTTCAAATTTACATTCATCATAATTTTCTCATTTAGAATCACAATTAGTACTGTGATTGATTGATTGCTGTTTCATGTTGTTTTATGTGGAATTAATCCGACTTGCTTGAAATTTTCCGAGTTCATGATCGCTGAGGATGTTAATTTTGAAGGTTTGATTGTTTAATGATGTGGTTTTCCTTCTGGAGATCTCGAAATCGATTCTCTTTAGAGGAACTCAGGTTTGTCTGCTTCTTTTTCAATCTTAAGTTCATTTTGATTAAATAATGTTGCAATTATTGTTACTAATTTAATTAATTTATGAATGAATTTTTGTTAGCTGATTTTGAATTTCTAGTTTACTTAATTGGTGCTTTAGTTGAGTTTCAAAGTGTTTGTTCTTAGTTTTCGAATCTTTCGGATTTGACTTAGTTGATTTATATGTTTAATTGAGGGATTAGGATGTGCAAATTGCGTAATGTGGCCGCTTTTTAAAGTTGGGGATTACAGAAAAGTTGAGATGTATTGCTTCAGGATTTTTGCTATCATATGTGTTCTTGGATGTGGAAGACCGAGAAACCGAACTTCCTGCTGGTGTGGGCGGGCGGGTTTTTCAATCCTAAGTCTAATAATGGGGATCACAGATAAAAAGTATTAATTAACTGGTTTTTGATTAGAATTAATGTTCATTTACTACAAATATATATCAGCGCAAGTCATCTTATTTTCCAAGTATGCTTTACTATTGAATTTCATTATATTCACTGCTTAAATCGAGTGATGGGGAAGTATCTATTGACACAACAATTGTGTTGTGAATTATGTTATATTCACTAGTATGAGGGGTTATGATGTGATATTTAATTTCTAATAGAGGGAGTAATTATGATCAAGAAATTTGATTTCATTTTATGCTCTTATGATGGTTAAGGGGAAAGAAGAAAGGATTGGGTTTTTGTGGGTATTTTTATCTTTGTCAATTATTTTTATCTTGAACGGCAAAAGCATTACATGTGGAGTGATGAAAATGGAATGTGTAACAGATTGGTTGGGTGGCTGATTAGTAGATCATAAGAGCGTATAGAGATATTGTGACACTTTCTGATGTTACAACTCGAATTCTTATTTGTTTTTGTTTTATTTTTATTTTTATTTTTTATTCCAGAAGTTTTTATTTAGAGTTTCAAGAAGAAGTTACCTTCTTTAAAATAGTATTTAATGTAATTGGGCTTTCAAAAATGTCCAATTAATGGAAGGGACAAAAGTTCAAATAATATGTTTTTGAGTATCACCTTCATCGATATGTATTTCTATAATCCCATGGCAGACTACATTTAATCCAACTTATAGCAATGTCAGGGTGGATTAAAAGAATTAGTTATAGTCCTAAGTGTGAGATCACTTCATCACTCAATGTGCAAACAATTTATTTTACGTTATATCTGTTGCTTATTAATTTGCTTATTTAATCTTGTTAGCTATACGACTACATGACCTATGTATACATTGACCACCCTTTTCCGTGTATAGTCACATACATCTGATACATGCTAACGTTGCATCAGTAAGATTGTCCAATAGCTAAGTCAGTTTACTGCCTGCATTTGTTCTATAAAATGTCCATATTTTGGTAGAATTGGAAAAGTTACTACTCCGTATGTGAGAAGGTGTTAGAGTTCTTTTGTATTTTTTATTTATTTATTTATTTTAATGATTCTCTTGTTTTCCATGTATATTGAAAGTGACATGGTTGATCTATAACGGTTTCCTGAGAGAGTTAGTGGTGTTAGGTTGTTTGTCCAAGTTGCCAATTTGGTCAAGCAAGTATAATTTACTTTTTCCATTGATGTTTACCTGTTGACTTTTCTCGACTTCAGATATCTAACTGAACAGCTGCAAAAGATTCAAATCGTCAATGAAGTTAATAAGGTCAGCTGAATCTTACATTCTGTTCACTTTTTAGCGGCCAACTTTTTGTGGTTAATTTATAAATGTAGTGTGTATTCTATGAAGGATTTTGTTATTGAGGCACTGAGATCAATTGCGGAATTGGTAACATATGGAGACCAGCATGACTCAACCTTCTTCGAGTAAGCATTTTAGTTCAGAAATATTCTATAAATTATTTGCATAATGCATCTCTTGTCGTATGTGTGCCTATGTGGTAAGGAATTGTGAAAATTAGATGCACCAGGCTTGGCAATAATTAACAGAACTTGGGAGTCAGTAGAATCTGATGAGTTTGGAGAGAGGGATATGGGTTTGCTATGTTGCTTGCTGTTTGTAGGCTGGACTGATGTCATTAGGGGACCTGTAATTACTTCCAATTTTTGATCACTCGGGATTTGGTTAACTTTTGGTCCAACATATAGCTTATTGTTCCTTGTCTCAACTTGCTGTAATGTTTGTGTTAAAGTCTAGGGCTAAAAAATACCTGCTTGCAATTAAAGCAAAACTTTATGTAAACTGTTTCTAGTGTTGTAATCATCGCCTAAAATACACTTGAAAACAATATTGCAATATAGTATCTAGAGTAATTTACATTAAATTATTATCCATCGTTAATAATACAAAGACAATGCTTTTTAAAGGGAGCAACTGTAATATGCATCTTATGGGTATCCGATTGATGTTCACCGTCTGAAGAAACCTTAATATTATTTTTACAAAACTTATCACTCAGCAGTAAAATGTCTTCTGAAATAACTTACCAAGGATGGCGAAGAAAGTTTTCTTTTAAAAAAATTATAAGTAGTTAAGTACTATGTGCAAGTTACTGCATTCTTTTTACACAGACTTATATCACTAGAAACATCAGGATTTTGTACTATATTCTTGTGCCTGGAGCCCATTCATGTTTCCTCCTTGGAATCTCCTGGATTTTCCTGGATGGATTATATTTGACCAAGCAAGTCCCCACAAGGTAAATCTGGGGTTTTAATTTTGCTATTTAAATGACTACTAAGGCCTTCTTATAGTGATTGCCCATGTCACCATGTCGAAGAGAAAAGGACTAATGTGAATTTTATATTTTCCTGGAGACTCAATTACTCATACGTAGGCTTTACATTGCCCAATTTAATAATTCAAGACGGCTTATAAAAACCCAAAACAATCTGTGACTAAGGCAACTCTTGCAAAGGGTTCTTTAGCAATTCAAGCTTCTGATTATTTTATCATATCTGCTTCATCTGCAGTTTTTTTATGGAGAAGCAAGTGTTGGGAGAGTTTATACGCATTCTGAAGATCAGTAGAACTGTCACTGTTTCGCTCCAATTACTTCAGACTATGAGCATCATGATTCAAAACTTGAAAAATGAGCATGCAATATGTGAGTTGTCTCAAAGAGAAAGTTTGCCCTATCCTTATTTGCTGTTTGTTTTTGCTGTGTGTAAACTAATAGTTTCTATATTCGACATTTTCATAGATTATCTCTTCAGCAATGAGCACATTAACTATCTCATAACTTATTCCTTTGACTTTCGAAATGAAGAGCTGTTATCATATTATATATCCTTTCTAAGGTCTGTTCTCTTCTAATGATGTACTCCTTTCATGAATTCTTTTGTTGTTGATTCTGTATTTGCAATGAGCTATAATGAGTTGCTTGTGGGATTGGTGCAGAGCAATAAGTGGGCATCTGAACAAGAGCACAATAGCATTGCTTGTGAAGACACAGAATGTAAGCTTAGTATTTTCTATTCGTTTCATGAACATCATTTATTGTCATGCTATATCAGGGTCTGACGTGGATGATTCTTCTGGTTTTCACCAATACTACTTGTGATGATGGACAGTCATCAAAGCTTGCTGTCTATCTCCCTTCTTAATGAAAAGGGTGGAACTGTGTGGAAAAAGTAGTTATTTAAGCTGTTTATGGAGAAAGTTCTTGGTTAATGGTTTTAAGAGTTGATGGCAAGACTAGGGATTTTAATCGTAGATGGTGATTCATGCAAGACTTTTTGTATTTTGGGAAATAACCACAACCATCCAATCTCTTCCTTTCCTCCTCCTCTTAATATCTCTCCCCTTTTTCTTATATGGGCTTAAAGTAAGGCTTAATTATTATTTTTTTTCCTTAGCATTTCCAGAATTTAGACTCCTTTATATGAGATGATGAATAGTTTACCATTATCCTACCTCCGTTTCATATTATTTGCAACGATTAGACATTTTTCCTCTCTACTTTATGTCAAATCGTTGCAAATAATATGAAATGGAGGTAGTATTTAATATTCTAAGGAATGTAGTGGAAAATATGTATCACTGGTCCTTTTCAATATTTTTCAAATTGGAGAGGGAGCATAGAATTATATAACCTGTTGTATTGTTCTAATAAAAATTCCCGTTGATCATTTTATTGCTAATGAACATCTTTTTGAGACCAGGAACCAAAACTTAATCCATGCTGAGTTTTTCTTAGAAAATTTAAAAATACTAATTGATGCAAGTTTTGTTTTGTGGTGAATTGGTTATGGATTTGCGTACCCAGTGTTTGTCTAATATATTTATGGAAGATCCTCTTTTCACTATGAATTCCTTTCCTTAATTTTATCTTGCTTCCTGAACTAGGATGAGGTGGTATCGTTCCCATTATATGTTGAAGCCATTCAATATGCCTTCCATGAAGAGAGCATGATACGTATTGCTATACGTGCATTAACTCTTAATGTTTACCATGGTCAGTTATGTTCCCCTGTTTTTTTTTTTTTATTATAATTATTATTATGTATTCCTTAAATAAGTACTTTAAGCTTTCTTTTCTTTCCTTTATAAATTCCTATCTTCTTTCTTGGTTCGTAGTTGGGGATGAGAGTGTAAATAGATATGTCGCCAGCGGTACACTTGCCAATTATTTCACAGATTTGGTTGCTTTTTTCAAGAAGCAGTGCCTCACATTGAATGACCTGGTTGTTCAGGCTTCACAGTAAGTTCTCTTACTGTGATGTCAATTGAAAATCAGAGGCCAAACTTTTACTTAGCATAATTTATTTCTTCGTTTGACGCAGGGAAACATCCAAAGATTTTTCATCTAGCATCATCGCTTTTGCGGATGAAATTGAGGACAACCTGTATTATTTTAGTGATGTTATCTCAGCAGGGATTCCAGATGTGGACAAATTGATAACAGACAACTTGTTGCGGCTTTTGATATTGCCACTGTTGCTGCCTTCTCTGATTGAGGCTGTAAGTGTGAAACTTAATACTGCCTGTTAGTCCTGTTTATCCTTATTCCTTACCACACTTTCCTTGATTGTCGCAGTTTTATCGCCAACTCTATATTCCAATATGGTGTGGTTTACTTGAACTTTCAGCATTTTCTTGAAAGGAAAATTGGAAGAGAGTTGGTGATTTTTTTTTTTTTTTTTTTTTTTTGTAGTTGCGACTATGATGACTGGTGCTTCTTTTGTATTAGTTGTAAAGACTTCTGTAGCTTTTGCATCCAGGGCTTAGGAATTGGAGCTGTCACTTCATTGTATTTGCTTTGTTGCATTTTGAGAATAGTCAAAATCAAAGATTTGGCAAATACCATTGTTGCCGCATTCTTTTGTCCACAAGGGGCCTTTGTATCACTTCCAGAAGCTAAAATGAATGGTGCTGCAATCTCTTACAAACTTCAACATCTAAAATCTGAAGAAAGTGCTCAAAGTAGTAATGGATATGTGGTAGAGGATGAAGGAAATTTGAAACTTTCTATTCCTGAAGATGTCAGCTTGCAAGATAGTTGTGGTGATCCAAATCTGTCTCTCAGGTATAATCAGAATCCAAGTTATCATTTTGTTTTTGTAAATATTCTTTTAACTTTTTGTTGTGGGTTCAGGAACAGTTTTCAGCTGTGTAGTAATATAGCTGATTCATGATTTTGCCTACCTGTGTTAACTGCTAAGCCATCTTATGTTGTGCCTGTTGTTTTTTCATTTCTCATTGTTGGAGCCAGGATCAGCTTGATTATATATTTTATAAGGTCTTTTAATTATTTTGCATGCTTCTGTTTATGAGTGTATATATATATTAGGAATTGACTTAGACTCTTGTTTCTAGGTAAGTAAAGATATTTAGGAATTATTATATTGTTTAACTAAATACTTCCATCATATGGAGTTCATATTGGAATTAATGAATTATATTTTGAAATTTGTGTAATGCAGGGAGACTGTACTTTCTTATCTTAATGTAGGCAACGACGTACAAGTTTTGGGATCATTAAGTGTAGTTGCTACATTGTCGCAAACCAAAGGTAATACTTTTGATTTTAGGTGGCTTGGATACTACACTATCCCATCAAGTTTGTTGAAATTACTTAAAAGTTTCACCTGAAATTAGTGTCAATTTTGTTTTTAGAGAGTTACAAAATGAAGGGTTTGAATTGTACATTTAACACTTAGGCGATGAGGTTAAACACTTAAAGTTCCAACATTTACCAAGGTAGTAAATCAACAAAATGTAAATCTTCCTTTGCAATAGAATTGAAAATGAAATGGACTTGTGGAAATGCTTTACGTTACATCCTCCAATTTTTTATCCTAATTATATGGGACAGGGGGAGTATTTCTCTTGCTATTTTCTTACCAAAGCTTTATGATTTTTTAGAACTGGAGGAGTCAATGCTAGATGCTTTTGGAATTCTTCCAAAACGGAAGCAACATAAGAAACTCTTACTGGTATGTATGTTCTACTTAATAATAAATACTTATTTTTGCTCATCCACTATGTTAACATGTTTGTCCTCACATTGCAAAGGTTTTTGGTTTTAAACTTATAATACTTTTATTGGACTGCACATGCTATTTATGAAGGATTATGAAAAATATGAATGGGAAAGTGGATTAGGTTTCTTCAATTTTTTGATTTTTTTTTGTATTTGTATTGGCGTATGGAAGTTGGGGTGCTTAGTATACTTAGGATTTGTCCTGGGGTATGAAGTTTGATTTTATTAAATGATAGTCCTTGATGGTCATAAGGTTTATAAGCTTTCTATGAAGGAAAAGTTGGATAACAAACTGAGCTGGTTTGAGGGTTTGAAAGAGAAAGAAGCAGCTGCAATTTTTCTTTCCTTTTTTTTTTCTTTTTTTCTTTTATTTTTTTTTTGGCGGGGGGGGGGGGGGTGTTGTGGATGCTGTAATTCAGGAGTTCTTTTTGCAGTCTACAGCATCTGTGATATTCAGGAATTCTTTTATTGAAATGGGTTATTTCATAGAATGTCAAGTGAAGGTTGTTTTGAAAAATGAAATGTACAACAGCGATATAGGGTTACCATACATAATACTGTGTTCCCAAAGGAAAAAAGGTTGAAGCACAAGATTCTGACATAATTCTTGAGCAGAATGTGGAGTGGACAAGGAACAAAATTGCTAGCAACTAAGATTACGCTCCATGGATTATGAGAGCTTCAAACATAAAGCTATTGGAAGTTTTGCAGCTGGAAGATTATCGTGTTATGTTTCTTGATGTCCTCAATTATTGCTTTGCAGACATGTATTTTAGGTTAATACAATGAAGAGACGGAGGGAATACAGATCTTTGGTTAATACAATGAAAGGCCTGTATATTAAGGGATGGAGGGAATACAGATCTGTAATGGTGGCAGCCGTTGTAAGGGAATGTTTTATAAAAATAATGTAACTTTAGGTGCAGACACTCTTTTAAACATGCTAGATTTTAGCAACTTTAAGATTGAGCATTATAGATCTCCTTGATTAAAGATAGGCAAATAAAGAAAATTTGATGAGAAGCTGTCCTTCATTTTGTTTTACCTAACTAGGTGATTCATTTTTCTTTACAACATTACTCTGTAAATAAGGTATTGAGACTTTGAGAGTCAAGGGCCCTGCTTGGTGGTATTGATGCCGCTGCCAATTGTGAGTAGATCTCTAAAATAAAGATAGGAAGGCATTTGAGATGAAGCCCAGGCCAATTTATGCATCTGCTTTTCCTGGAAACGGGATTCACTTTGTACAAAGGGTGTTAGCAAAAATTCAAAAGGATATAGTTGTAGCCATTGTAGAGATGAGCATAAAGTAAATCTTTCTTTTAATGCTTATCATGAAGCATTCTATAGTCTTTTTTTCTTCTATTCAGGAAGCCATCTATGATGCTTAAACACATTTATTTGATCAATCAAAAATTGTGATTCTCTTTGTCAAAGATGCATTGTAGCTCACGAGTAATTGTTTAGCTAACTGCGGCTGTAAATGGGTCTAGAGAAATTATCATTCCTTCTCACAGCTATCTTAGTAACTTGCATATTCCACCATCGGAAAACATAATGTGTAACTAGTTCATAATCCTCATCTATGGGAATCAATGCTAATTTCAAGCTTTGAACATTTCCTCTTCACATAAGAACAGTATTATATGTTTGTTTGCTTCAAGCCCCATCCGTCTTTTGTTTTCTACTGAAGCAATTAACAACCTTTACATATGATAAGTGACTTGTCTTTTGCAGCAAGCTCTTGTTGGCGAGAGCTCAGGTGAAGAACAACTTTTCTCTTCAGGAAGTAACTCAACGAGATGTGGTTTTGTTAGTGAGCTGGATAGCTACTTACAAAAACTGAAGGTACATAATCTTCAATGTTTTCCTCTTATTTGCTACTAGTTACTTATGATTATTTATGTATAAAAAGAACTATAAGCAAGGAAAGGACGGGGGCCGCGGGGGGGATTGTGTTCTTAGTGATCTTGAGTAGAATTTTGCCTATGAGTAATGCACCTCACCAATGATAATATTATCCAAGTGGGTCATAAGGCTTGTCTCCACGAGGGCTAAGGAAATAAAGCTCATGCTCTCTCAAGTCATTTTAAAGCACTTTTTACATATTCAAGGTACATCGACTTCAGCTAACCGTCATAATAGATATTTGAAACATTGACAAGGGCAAAGCTATGCTATAAGAATTTGTACGTTACCTTTGTTCTTAGTGCATCACCTAATTGCCAACAAGACCATTATGCACACATCAGCAAGCCAACCTTTTTTTTTTTATCTTTCTTTTCCAGACTACAATCACATTTTTAAAGTGAAGCTTTGTTAACACCAACACTAAGAAAAAAATGTGTGCTCTGAGGAGTCTTAAGTATCAAAGATAAGAGGTCTCAGGCCTCACATCTTAGTAGTTCTAAATCTTCTAATCTTGGATATTCAAGTTCAGATGAGTTTGACTAGTATATTCAGAAATATCCAACAGGAAATTGCATGGGTCCTAAACATATTCAAATGATTGGTCTGATTTATTCTTCACGATAAGGGCTTCTTGAGGACTTGCATATTCTCCTTGTCTGCAGTAACCCCACAACAAACTGGGAAGACAGTAAAGTGATATTTAATGAGAAGGATGAAACTGGAAGTATATTGTGCTAATCTTAATTGATTAAAAACATTCATTGAGAAACTTGGATGCAAAAATTTATATGTGACGGACTGACGGTATAGGCACATGAATCATTTTTGAATCAGAGGCAAATCAAAGCTGTTTATCTTGAACTGTTGATTGTGATGTTTAATGAGAAGGATGAAACTGGAAGAAGCTGTTTATGTATATGAAAGAAGTTGGCTTGTAACTGGAAAAAAAAAAGTATTATTCTAGGCTTTCTAGTCCAAACCTTGGAGTGTATGCTAAACTACTATAATTATAAGGATAACAAATAAGGAAGAAAGGGTCCTGTTTAAGTGTTGAGGTAGAGTTCTTTTTGCTAGGTTTGATTTATTTGTTTGGGAAGGGATAAGATTTTTCTTGAGACATTATCAATCTGTTTGTGATTCTGGAATTAAGTTGTGTTTTTATTTTTTTTTTATTTTTATTTTTTTTTTTACTTTAATTTACATTGACTCCACATTTCACCTTCAAATACTCAGGCCAGTTAAGGGAAGTGAGACATAATTTTTTGGGCATTTTGAGTGGATCTAATCTGTTATATATCTCCAAATTGTAGTTGACCTCTGGAACTCTACTCACATGGTGAAATAACAGTTGAACAAAAAGATTTACATATTAGCTGAGTGATGTCAGTAGTAATTAGGGCTCAACCTTGAACATGGGGATAGACTTTTGCAACATAATTCAGGAGATTAATTTTTTATGTTGTTACTATTATCATGTTCACCCCTTCCCATAGGCTATAATCATAGACGTTGGTAAACCTCAACTTTGAATAATCTTAAGAGGAGCGTTAATGACATTGAACGAAGATCCAAGAGAGGTTATTAAGATCATTACCAATAGAGCTAAAAGGGACATCACTGACAGCATTTAAGATTTAGGTTATAATGGATTACTTTAGAGGCTTACAGTGACTTAATTAAAATCTTGTGCATAATATCTTTTGTGAAAGTTCTTGATGTGTGCGAAGTATTGTCAATTTCCTATCAAGGGTTTGAAGGAATAGCCTCTCTGCATTGCAGAGGGAAGGCTGTGAACATGTGTCTTCCTTATACCTTGGTTAGGCATGCACATCATTTGAGGCATTGGGGCTGGGGTGATCATCTTGAGCACTGTTCAAAAGCTGTAAATTGGCGAGAAATGATAATAATCTCCAATTTCCACCCCTTGTTTTATTCATCTCAGTTTTAATTTTAACAAGACTTTCATGGTTATAACCAGAAGAGTTTTTCTGCTCTAGGGCAGTCTTTATTACTTACTAATTTTACAAGTTTGTGCATTAATTAATTTTACTTAGATGGCTTAGACCACATCTCTAACATCAGTTCTCAATTATCTATGTGTGCTGTGTAGTTATGAATGTAACTGGATAAAGTTTATCCATCTTAACAATGCTCTTTTTCCCTTGGATCTGCATATATATGCAGGAATATGGGGTTTCTTCTTCCTTTGAACTAAGATCAAGCCCGCGCTCATGCAGATCTCAGGTATTGGCTGGATTCGGTATATTGAAGTCTTTAATATATAAATCTATGTTAAAAATTCCTTTGTCAACCCCCCCCCCCCTCTCTCTCTCTCTCTCCCTCCCTCCCTCTCCATAAAGGAATTTCAAAGGGAAGTTTGTAGTTTGTTGAGGCATGTGAGATTTGTAAAGGAGCAAGGGGCTTATTGGTTTAACTCCTGAACAAATCAAGTATGTACAAAGAAGACTCTTGCTAGATTGGGACATTTATGTGCTAGGATTTTTCCTGACATACTGATATAACTCTTGAACAAATCAAGCAATTGTTTATTTGAGACAGTAGATAATGCGATTTAAAGGCTCTTGTTTTCAATTAACATCTGCCTTGGTATGAGTGAAGTGCTGTATTGTATAATCTTGAAGTTCCTGATCCATAATGCTTAGGACAATTTTGTGCAGTAAAGTTATCTGCTAATGAGGACAGATATTTGATTGTGACGATTAAAATGCTAGTCCCAAAGTTCATGCATCACCCATTGTTAGTGCCAATGGTTGAATGATAGATATTGGAGGAAAGGCTATTTGGAAGCAGCAAGTGAGTAAAATTTCTTTTGCAGCTCTGTAATCAATATTAATGAAGAGAAATGGAGAGCTGTTTCAAGTTAGTGGAGAGATCAGAGATGTACTCAATTTTGTAAGAAATTCAGTGTCCGACAATGGTGAAGATGCTTGTCAGTTAGTTTCCAGCAAAGAGATAATGATTGCTCTCCATGTGAAAGATTTTATAAAGATGGCATGCTCTTGAAGATGTTTTCATTGTCCCACGTTTGAGAACCAGACAACTTATTTGTAAGGTGTTCAGACGCTGTAGGATGAATCAATGTCTAAGGGAGTGCTGGATTTGGCTTAGCACTGATCGAAATTTCCTAGGGTTGGAGCTATTCTATAGTCTTCAAAGTTTCTTCCTGTCGATATTACTCCTATATTCAGCTTGAAGAAAGAAAGTAACAAAAAGACGAGTGTGTGTAAGAAAATGGTGGATAAAGTAAGAGATAGAAATAGAAAGTTGGCGTGTGAGGAAAAGGTGGATAAATTGTGGGGTAAATAGATAAGATGGTAAAAAGTATTATCAAAATTGGAATAAGGTAAAAGTGGGTAGAGCCAACAAAAAAAAAAAAAACACTCAAACACTAACCTGGAAAGTGGGTGGTTAAAAACAATGGAGGTAGTGCTAGTCACCTTGGAGGTGGTTTTGGGTATTTATATTCAGCTTTTAGCTGGTTGTCTTGTGATTGTATATGTTTGCATGAGCTTTTATTACTTCAAAACGCCCACGCTATGGGGACAGGTTTGGCCTTTGCTTGCCTGCCCATACAGCTTTTGCCCATTCATCATGGTTTAGAGGATTTAATGGTAAGGATTTTGTTTCAGGTGCTTGATGCATTGGTTAACCTTTTCTGCCGGTCAGATATCTCTGCCGGGACCTTGTGGCATGGTGGTTGGCTTTTGAGGCAGTTGCTCCCTTATAGTGAGGCAGAATTTAATATGCAGCATCTTAAGCTGCTCAGAGTAAGAACTCTCTCCTACCAAGAAAGAGTATTTAGTAATGCCAATTTGCCACAAGTCCTATTTATTATCAACAAATTTATGTCAGTGCAATGCATTTACCTTGTAAATTGTAAACATTAGCATCTCTTGTTAGTAGATGTCAAGGAATATGGAAACTACATAAACCACAAATATATGTTGTCAGGAATTAAAGCATTTGATCTTGCAGGAAATTCTGAATAGTGACCTAACTTAAGATGACAGATGAATATAATGCCAATATATTACACTACAATGTCCTCAGAAATAAGTGTAAAAGTAGCTCAAATGGTAAAACTTCACATCATTGTTCAGTTGAGAAAAACTAGATTTTATGGAAGTTAATAGAATCGACAATTTCAACGTTGAAGCAGAGTTATTGTGACTTCCTTTAGCTGCACAAATTTACGCGATTCGACTCCTTGAATGACACGTCTCATGTTGGTTATATTTTATTTATCTATTATTATTATAGCTTATGATAGTCACCCTTTCGTAACATTGTCTGTAAATGATGTCTGAAACTGACCCAGTGTACAAGGTCTTTTATTGTAGTCCATCCCAATGTGTCTCTTGACTTTTTTGAGTCAAAGTTTACAAACATTTGACTGCTAGTTTCTTGAGCTATCCATCAATTCACTGTGTAATAGTAAATATATATTTATGTTAGTTAAGTTCTTCATCCTTTTTTTTGAATTCTATCAAATTACTTTACGTACTAAAGACTAATGAGAAGATGGCAGAGGGACCACCCATGCAGTGGTATTCACATTTTTTTTTGGAGAGATAGAAAGAGAGACCGAGGTGTAACTAATAGGTTTAATAAACTTACTTGAATAAGAAATTTTTTTTTAAAAAAGGTGTGTAGGACATAGAATGGATAAAAAAAAAAAAAAAGGGTAGAATTGTAGAAGTCAAGAAAACCGAGGAAATACTTTATCTGGACTATTTGTTTTCTACTATGTGATCCGGAAATCTAATTATGGCTCTCTCCAAACAAAAAGATCCCAAAAAGTCACTTGTTACCTGCTCTTTTCATGTAATCTTATAATAACAAACAATGTCAAAGAACCAAAGTTGAGCCTAACATTTAATATAGGATGGAAAGAGTATTTTGAATTACAAGAACTCAAGTGCATAAGTTTACTAGCACCTTAATGGCCCATTTACTACATGGAATAATAACTAGTTTGTATGTGGTACTATGTGGAATATGCTGCTTGAGTGTTCACAGTAATTCAATCCCACTGACAAATATTAATTTTTCATTATTGATTTTGGTTACAACTCATACCCATATTTCTAAGTGCTAATAAATGATGATAATTACTTAAAAAAGGAAATCAGTACTTATTAGCAGATATGCAGTTTCTTGGACATTCATATGATAAATCCATGTAAAACTACACATAAAAACGCACTACATTGACTTGATTATGATTACCACACTAGACAAGACATAAGGGTTTGACATACAATAATGTACTTGGTAGTTGATATGTGAGGGTGGCAAGTTAGCATGCCATAAACATTAGTTGGGCAGTCTAAATTATTTTATTGCTTATTTGTTGTAAACAATAACAAAATTATTTTATTTTGAGTGGGAAGCAACACTAGTTAGTAGATTAAGAAGAGTAGTGGTGGTGGTAGCTTCATGCAGCGCTTGAAAAAGGTGTGTGTGAGAGATTCCTGGACAAGGGAGATCAGAGATGGTTACAAGTTGCGTGACAAAGTTTGAGTTTATATTTTTTGTATTTTATGATTATAAAAAATAATAATAAACTCTATTCATTGGAGGCTGAGCTTCTTATTTTACAAATTAATGAATGTATTGTTCACTTCTAATGACATTATGGATGTTGCATGGGAAGGAATCTTTTGTTACAAGCTCTAGCAATATCCTCTTGGAGGCTAGAGGAACGTGGGCTGATTTACTTATCTCGGTTCTTTGTGATGAGTGGAGAAAGTGCAAAAAAGGTATCTTACTTAGCAACATTTGCTGACTATACATTTATATGGGTTTTTGTGGTCTTGTTTTCTGATTTCGTGCTGTTGTAGTGACGGAGTCCTCATCCCCCAGGAATGAGTTGAGATGCATGCTCTTGCCGTCTTCTTCAGGAGGTTGTATGATGAAACTTGTGAATCGTATTTGTCTTTGTTACATAAGTAACGTGTCTTTTACAGAAAGATGACTTTGAATATTCATCTTTTGTAGGTGTCATTTCAAGTGAATCTTTGGCGGCTGGAGAGAGAATGTATGAGGTGGTAAAGGTAAGATGCAATGAATGTTGTTCAGTGTCACCATGGTGTCTTTTTTTTTTTCATGGCCTGTAATTCACTTTTGTGTGCTCTTATCAATATCACAACTTGGTTTAAGCTGTCTTGGAGACAGTTGAACAATTTCCGGTCCGACTGAAATTAGTCCCCATGCACAGCCCTTACTGGAAAGCTAAGTAGCACTGTAGCACATGCTAATGCTTTGGCTCGCCAACTACCTCACAAGTTTTACACTCACTCAGGGTATGAAGATAGTATAAATTTAATAATTTTGCAATTCTTCTCAATGCAGGCATTTGTACTTCTTTATCAACTTCAAGTTTTCTCACAAGGCATACCATTGCCTGATCATGCACCAATCTTTCCTCCAGTTGACATACCTCAAAATTCTCGTGGCAGAGCCATGGGTCTCGACACTGTTGGCCCAAAGCAAGGTGTTGAGTTAAAACTTGGTCAGTTTTCTGTTTTTGTTATTCGTCTCACTATCTTTTTATGAATAATAGGTTTAGAATATTTTTCAAATTTAGCTTAAGAAAGAATAATAAAGCTCTCATTATTACATACAGTCGATGCCATTCCTTGTAGAATTGCATTCGAAAGAGGTAAAGAACGTTATGTTTGGTTTCAAGCTGTATCAATGGGAACATCTGGCTGGATTGTGCTCGTGGAAGAACTCCCCTTGAGACAAAATGTTGGAGTTGTTCGTGTTGTGGCTCCTTTGGCTGCCTGTAATGTATGTGTTAAACTTAAATGCCTTTATGACAACAAATACTGTAAATCAACCATGCTGTAAAGTTTATTAATTGCAATTCGTAATTAATGACATTATATTCCTTGTGCCATCCCTACATCTTGGTTTTCTGTGCTGCAGCCCCGAATAGATGACAAGCACCCAAGATGGCTACACCTGAGGATTCGTCCACCAACATTACAGTCCCTGAATCCTTCAAAAACTGCTGCATTAGGAAAAGCAAAGGCACGGACTTTGGTTGATGGAAGATGGACACTAGCATTTAGAGATGAGGAATCTTGCAAGTCTGCTGTATCCATGATTCATGAAGAGTTTAATCTCTTAAGTCAAGAAGTTGAGAGGCAGTTTAAACCACTATTTGACCCTGATTACTTGATGGTTCCACCGGGTTCCTCTTCGCATCCAGAATCTCCAAATACTAATTCTTCCAATCGTTTATGAGTTGCTTAGTTTATCAATTCATCATTAGCTATCAAAATTATTAATGGCATCCTTATGTTTTGTAGTGAAGCCATCTTTTTGTACATGTTGATTAGGTAGTCTTTAGATCATAATGTAGGTTAGTTTCAATGATTTATACCATTCTTTGTACACTAGCTGGGTGCCCGCTGCGTCCCAAAGCTTTCCTGAGAGCTGTTGATATTGAGGCTTTCGTTTGTAAACCACTGCTCTATTAACCTGTAAACCTATTGTATATTGAGGTGAAGGAAATGTATAGTTATTGCTTTGTTGTATCTCAACCGGTGCTAGATGATTCCCCCGCCCCCTTTTTAGGGAGTTCCTGTCATACTATATGGATGATTTGGCTGCCTCCAGTAGCTCACACTTGAACAAATGGTAACAACCATAAAGACTACTGTCCAAATCAGAATGTCATTCTTTTGGATCTTCATCATAGAATGTGCTGGTAATTGAACAAATGGTAACAACCGCGAAGACATAAGGATTTTTTTACTTTTATCACCGTAAAAAAATATGAAATTGTCTTATCACCAAAATTTCTCAAAGTTTTATTTTACCACCAAAAAAAGTTCTAAAAATTATTTTTCACCACCTGTCATCAAGAGAATCGTGAAATCTAACGGTTTAAAAAAATGGCTTCGATTTACATGCTAAAAACATGTTCTTTAGAGGTTTTTTTGTCAATTCTAACTTCAAATCAGAGCCAAAGGGTTTGAGGTTAGAATTGACAAAAAATAATCACAAGTGCCTCGATTTGTGTGAAAATACGCAAATCAAAGTATTTTTAGTAGGCAAAATGAGGCATTTGTGATAATTTTAAAGAGCATGTCTTTGGCATAAAAATCGGATTTTTTTTTTTTTTTTTTTGAAATTCCGTTAGATTTAATGGTTTTTTTTTTTTACCATAAGTGGTGGAAAACAATTTTTAGAATTTTTTTTGTTGGTAAAATAAAACATTGAGAAGTTTTGATGATAAAAAACAATTTAGTGATTTTTTTTATTTTTTTTGTGGTAAAAGTCAAAAAATCGGAGACATAAGTTAATGGTAATTGGAGAGATGGTGTTGGTCTACCCATCATAGAATGGCACAGTCCTTGTATTCAGTCTTAGCTTTCATAAGATTGCATACGTGAACTTATTATGTTGAACTGTAAACACAAAAAGATGAAAAGAAGAATTTCAATGCTTGATTTGAAGTTTTGAACAGACTAGTGGAGGTTGCTCCTATGAGAAACCCTATTAACGACTTTGGAAGTCTTAGTCATTAGCGTACCATTTTATGGTAGGTTTCTTGTTAAAAGTTAGCTCTGCTGTTTGGAAGATAGTAATTATGGACGAGCAGACCCCCATTTAAATCCTACTCTTCCACCCCTTTTATACTATCTCCGTTAATAGTTATTTGCAACGATTTGACATAAAGTAGAGAGGAAAAATTTCTAATCGTTGCAAATAACTGTTAACGGAGGTAGTAGTTTCTATTTGGACTGTGCATATTTGTCAATGCAATACTTTGACTATAAATATCGTTAGTTGTTTATTAGTAAAAAAATATAACAATTGAATATTAATAATCTATTTATCAAGACGAATCAAATAAGACCCAACATGACTATGTTATGTCTTATATATTAAGAATAATTTAGAAGATTATCTCATGTTATGAATAGTGTCAAAATTTGAAATGAGAACTATAAAAAGGGGCGGAGAAAGTATATTAATATAGTGGCAATTATGAAAATATTTGCCTCGAAAATCGCATTAAATTGTTTTAATATTATAGCTTTATATTCTTGCCAACGTGGACTTAATTCTTCATGTTTACGCCGTTAGTAACACTGTCATTGTACTTTTCATTCATTCATCATCAAGTTTTCAGAACTGAGAGAGAAAAGAGGATGAAACTGGGAATGCTTGGTCGGTGATAATCTCAATTGCTATTAACCTCGCTCGACGATCTTTTAACTACTACTCCACTTTCTTGTTTTTGTAAATATAGCTTGTATTCTTGTTAGAGATATAAGATAGCAGAATAATATATTTAGGCTTATTTAGGAATATTGTTTCTTATCTTATGATCTTAGGTTTTGTATAAATCCTCAACCTATTGATGAATAATAAACAAGCTCTATTGTTTGTTCACCCATAATTTGTCAACTCTCTATCTTCTCATACCTACTAGCCGCTTGATTTACAGAAAACCTTGAGAAAAAAAATATGAAATTAAGGGAAAGGTTAACCCTTATAGAAATATGAAATTAAGGGAAAGGTTAACCCTTATAGGGATAGGTGTTTGTTGTGGAGGAAGATCTTCAACAATGGATTGAGAAATTTAGCTTGTTAGAGTAGAGAGAGGATACTCTGGTTTGTTACTTCACCTTCTCGTCAACGTCATTGATGCTCAGTGATGAGAACAAAGTTAACTCTGTTTACGTAGTTTATTACTGATTTTACAATGATACCCCTAGCAACCAAGTGGAAATGAAAAAAAAAAAAAAAAAAAAACCCTTGATATCAGCACCAGCTGTTAATATAGGATATAAACTTGTCTTTTCTAATTATAAACCGCTTAGAAAATATTGTAGATACAGCAAGTTTTTGCACCCATTAGCTATTATTCCAATTTTATTATATTCCCTCCATCTCATAATATTTAGGACGTTAGGATGGATACGTAGTTTAAGAAAATTACTAGTGGATCTATTTAAAACATTTGTTTATTGTATAAAGATTCTCTTTTATATTTTTATATTATAAGAAAACAACAAGTGGGGTAAAAGTGGGGTAGGTGAGGAGAGAGAAAATGTGAGAAAATATTTTTTAATTAGTGGTTCAATTCCATATTTAGTAACATGTCAAGTATTGTGAGACGGACGAAAATGGAAAATGTGTAAAGTATTATGGAACGGAGGGAGTACACATTTAAAGGTTTAATATACAAAACAAAGTTTAAAACAAAAGCATTTCGCCCATTGGCATTATTTAGGATTGAAGGAATCAGATTGCAGAATTGCCAGCCAAGTTAGCAATTTTAACAATAATAATACTATCCTAGATAATATAAGCAGTAACCTAATGTTACAAATCTTACAATCCATTCGTGTCACACGTTACCTGCAGCTCTACGTTATTCTTGCAGTCACACAGTCAAACGCTGAAGTCATAAGAGCATCTGATAATTAGCAAAAGACATATCATGATTAAACCAAAAATTACTTCATCATGATTGTACTCAGCAAAAGACATATGAGCCACAAACAAAGCAAAAAGTAATCTTCATCCTGGCATAAGCTTACGTGTCACAAAAATCAACCCGATTTTCAACATATTGAAAATTCTGAACTGAAAGTGCACCTGTTGCGGAAACATGTAAATATCATGATTAAGCAATATTAACATGGATGAAATTGGCATGGAAAAAAATTGTCTATCCACTCAATATTACTGCTTGTCTGCTTGATATGGAAAAGGAAATAAACCAATCTGTCCACCCTTTCCCTTTCCCCACTTCCTCAATCTACAAGGTGCTAAAGCTTAGCATGAAAAGATTTCGACCACACTATGCCTTAGCAAATATCTTCTTGGTGCACATCTCAGATTAAGGATCTACGCACATCTCAGATTAAGTTCACAACCCCCCCCCCCCCCCCCAAATTAATAACCAAGGCAATAATGTAAAAAATGGTGTTTGTCGGCACAACTATGCAGAAATAGTAGTAATTAATTGTTGTTAAGAGTAAAATCTGGGTCCAATCAAATGAACAAAACTCAATGCCAAGGGATTCAATATACATGGAAGATGGGTGTTAGAAATAACATGGAGATTACGTACCTGAAAATCAGATAACTTTCAAGAATTCTGATCCCACAGTACTTGCTCATCAATCTTGCTCAACAATTTATCATCCAGCCGTTTCCAAGTACTAATTTTCTCCAAACCTATCCAAGAATTCTCCCTCTTTGAGAGTTCAACTTGAACAACCCTTGCTCTCCGATCCCAACCAACCTTACCATATCCATGATATCCCGAACCCCCTCCATAACAAAACCATATACCATCCAGATTTCCACAGCAATCATTGTTGTGATCATGACCTATGAAGACACCTTTTACGTTCTTCATTGAAACTAACGATTTTAGAACTCCAGAATTAACAGATGAACAAGCTACACTTTCTCCAATGTGGCCAATAACTTTCTGATAATACAACTGTCTGATTTCTGGGATTGGAATGTGAAAGAAACCAAGTGCCAGAGGTGTCACTCTTGATAAACTTGACGAAGGGGAGCCTCTACAGTGATTGCATTCTCCATGCTCATCCTGTTAGTATTGCCTGCGACATATTAATCAATGAAATCTATATACAAGACCTTATAATAAGATGAACTGATGATTAACTTGCACATACTTTACCTAATAAATTCACACATCCAAGAATAATACTTGGTATGAAAATAGGTTTCGAATTCTAAAATTGATGTGACAAACAGTCGACATTAATCTCAAAATAATGGATTCAAAAGGTTAAATATGTATCTTATTCAACCATAGACATCATGTAAGGATTAAAAAGGAAATTTTGCCAACAACTACCATCTAAATGACCACTTTTGAGAACAACTACCATTTTATTTTATTTTTTTAAAAAAACTACCACAAAAACATAAAAACTTTGAGTAGCACTACCACATTTAATTTTCCGGCAAGAAACTCTGGTTGGTGTGGCCTACTTTATAAAAACTCCAGAAGATGGAATGAAGTCAACCAAGTTTAAATTGCTTTTAAAGACAGTCCACATTGGTCTCAATCAGTAAGAGTCCAGAGGTGTCTTTCGGACAAAATGTAATTGGTGGGGCTCAAGCTCACACAAAGAAGGAAAGAAAAAGAAGTTTATCCATTAAGCAACCCAAGTGACTTAATTGCACAAGATTATTACTTTTGTGTATGTTTATTTTGGAATCAACAGTATCTTGTACTTCTAAAGGAAAAAACTACAATGTTATAGACTTATAGCTATTTTTCTTTATAAATATAAACAAATGGTACAGTTTTCTTTGGAATCTTAAAAAGAATGTCAAGAAGAAAGTGATGAAAATCATCAAATGAGAATGTAAACCAAGTTAGTAGTGTATTTGGTGAATCTGTCATTTCAATATATGACACTCACTGGTTCCATGCATGACCTAGTCTAATTTTCATACTATGCTACAGCATCATTTCTTGTCTAATGTCATAGCAACAAGCACTAACATATATACTGGTGCATGATACAAACACCAGTTTAACAACAATCAAATGAATTGGATTAGAGCCAGGCATATCAGACAGGAAATTCTGACCTGTTCTGTTTGAGAAAATCCTTTCAACCAATTCAGTTGAGATTCTCTGATCCATCCATATGTTCGTCTCCCTTCCACTATGGCCCTGTCTCCGCTATCAAGAAACAAGAGGTTCAAGACACTAAGGTTGGCCAATAGAGAACCATAAGGGCCATGCACCGAAAGATTGTAATTTCCAAATCCATCAATGCCAGTCAGCTCATCTCTTTCTTGATGACCAGATGATGGATTGACTTGAGAGACCGAATAATCCATGAGTGAAATCAATGACATCAGTTCCTCACGATTCATAGTTGACTCTTGGTCATGATTTCCTAAAACAGCAGCCCAAGGAAGCCTAGATTCCACTGCAGGTTTGAAAGCTTTAAACAGCGACTCGGCTGCATCAGGCGTGCTTGACCCAAATATATTGTCTCCTATATAATTGACCATGAAAACATTAAGTTCCATTGCTATATGCTTTCTCATTCTCTAGTAATTAACACAACCCCTACCCTAATGTGTGTGTGTGTGTTTTGAGGAAATTCTTATGGATAATACAGCAGCTTGACAAGGCAGAAAGCTCCAAGGACAGAAGAACTTTTAGTTCCTTTACTCCCCTTTGTTGGGGAGTTGGATGATGGTTGTTCAAAGTTACAAATTACAAAACACAGCTAAAGTAAATTCTTTCATTAGGATGTCGAAAAACACGGCTTCCTCCGGAAAGCATGGATTCCTCAATAAATTGAATATTGTTCACCTCTTTATTAGTGCATTACATCCAAGTGAGTCGCTACTGAAAAGCTGCAATCTTTACAGACGGAGAAAGTCAATTTCTACAAGAAATTTTCTGCTGTGTACATTGCAACGCCATCCTTTGTAATAAGCAGCTTCTTAAAGATATTAAAGCCGCAATATGGTAGTGAGAAGGGTCAGGGATTTATAATACTATTGCATGACAAAATTAAGATTTTACAAGTGTACATCCTAAGACCAGAAATGTGAATACATCTAGGTGCTGAATATTAGCAATAGCTAAAAGGAAAGCATCCCGTCAGTTTCCTAAATTACATAGACTATGAGCAAAGGAGCTACAATTCATCATTTAGCTAACGTATGGTGAAACACATACTGAGCAAAGCAGATTCCTACAGAAATGCCTGAGCTCAACATTTGGACTGCCAAACTTTAAACATTTTTCTCCATTTACATTTTACAGCTAATAAACTTTGAAATGTGCCAAGACTGCCAACAACGGCTAAATTCATTATAACCCACGTACAATTTCTTAAATTTCAAATTTCTTCAATTCCAATTTTGTTAAGCAATTATCAACACCATAAATTGAGAACCCCACAATGCTACAGTTACTGAGTTTAAGAATCCATGTCGTAATCTTTACATAAGCAACCTCAGTTATGGCCAAAAAAATCTGATACTTCCCAGACTCCTATAGCTCTTAAAATCCCATCAACCATTTGTTTCTAGGTCACGACAAATAACCAAGTCAATGCTTTATTCAGCTTGTATACTCTCATCTTCAATAAACCAAACCAACACCCTTCTTTTTTTTTTTTTTTTTTTTTTTTTTTTTTTTTTTTTTTTTTTTTTAGTTTTACTACTAATCACTAATTTTCAACAATCCAAAAAAAACTCTTCCAGTATGGTAAATTAAGCAAAAGTTAGTTTTATAGTGTCATCTTCTCTAGATTTGCACTCCAAGAGCCAGCATATCCTAAAAACTAAGACTAGCTACATAGATTGAGCTAATTCCACTAATTAGAACAAAAGCAACAAAAAAGGAAAGAAAGACGAAATCAACAATCAACAATAAATACATAAATGCAAACACTATATTTATCATATACTACTTTCTTAAAAAAGCTAAATATAAGAATCTAAAACTAGAAACATTAAGCATTAACTAAACATTAGTAAGAACTAAATAAAATCCTGTACAATGCACGGATTTTACAAAAAAATTCAATGAATTGTTAATTCAATCATACAGAGTAATAATTTACCAAAAGAAAAATATATTTTAAATAAAAAAAAAATTAGAATTTGAAATTATATTTTAGTTGAATATATATGGTAAATATATTATGGATAAATGGGAAGGAAATATTATTATAATATTTTAAATATTCTTTAACGATTTGATCAAGTAAACAAAAATGTAAAAAAAAAATGATTTGGAGGGGAAAACAATAGCACTAGGAAATGACACGTATCATTGCTGGTATGTGTTTTAGTATTATGTTAATTATTGATAATAAAATCTGTTCAAAAGAGCACCAAAAAAAAAATCTGTTCTTTTAAAAAAAAAAAAAAAAAAACATTAATAACATCGATCATTTGATACGGGATCTTAATACGACATACCAATTTAAGAATATACGCAGTAATTAATGTTTATAGTCACCCTTAAACCCGCATATATTAAAATAATTAAACCCAAATTAGAAACAACATAATTATTTAACTGAAAACAAAGTTCTGAAAAAATTTACCAGTAAAAGCTAGAAAATCTGGTTTTTCAACTTCAATCAACCTCTGAACAAACTTAGTGGTGTTAAGATCTGAACAATACTTAAATTCCGAAGGCGAAACCCCTTTACATTTCGTAATCAACCCTTGACCAAAATGCATATCAGCCACCTGAAAATCAAATCAAGGAAAAAACTTACTAAAAATATAAGGGAAAATCAGAAAAAATAAATAAAAAATATCCAAAATAGAAAGGATTTTGATTTTGATGATGATTAGAAAAACCTGAAGGATTTTGAAAGTGCCATCAGAGTTGAATCTCAAAGGAAGTGGTGGGGATTTCTTGAGTTTGATGTTATCAAAATTGATTGAAAGATGGATGAATAATTGAGTGTAAATGAAGTGGATTGAAGTGAGGAGGATGATGAGGAAGATGAAAGTTACAGACCATTTTGAGCAGAAATTCTCCATTTTTAGCTACTCTACTTGGGGTGTGTAGTTAGTTTGAATATTTCTAATTATGTTATGAAGTTGTTAACAATAATGGAGCTTAATAAGTGTTTAAAAATAGGACAATTTGACAAACATGCTTGAGAATTTGACATGGGTGTGGGGCGTGCGAGTAAAGTTTGTAGGTAGTTGTGTTTAAAACTTTAAATGATATGACTCATATGAGTACCATTGTAACACACTAACACCCAAATATTTTTTCATTAGTGCTAACAAATGCAGAAGTTTAGATTTCAATTTTGTAATTTTGTTGGTACCAAATAATTTTTTTTTGGGTAATATAGTACCATCAATTTAATATTAACCAGCATTATTAGTTATTAAGTGTGTGGAGATCGAAGAGTCTACACTACATGACATATACCTCCAATAAATGTCTTGTACTGCTATGTATTATTAAATTATATATATGGATGAAAAAAAAAAAACCTTAACCTCTTTTATTTTATTTTTATCACAAATTTTCTTGGTTCGATCCTTAGCAGCCTGAGTTCGCACCGACTAGGATGGGGGGACTTTTGGCTGGGGTGGAAAATAGGGATGGGAGATGGGTGGGCTCTCTAGGGAAGGGCTGGGGTGTGGTTTGTGAGGCAGGGAGGTTGAGCGAGGATTCATGGGGTAAGGATGAAGGATGAGTGAGTATGTTTCCAAGAGGGTGGAACTGGTGGTACATAGAGGTACGTTGCTTTAATAGTATATAGTGGTATGCGTTGTTTATTATCGAATTTTTGTTAAAATCGGTATTTGAGAAAATAGAAGGGTAAAAGAAAAAATGATATTATGTACTTTATAGATCATTCTCACCGGTGGGCAATTTTTTACCCATGGGGAAAAATTTAGGTTTAAAAAAATTGCCCAAGATCTACATCAATGCGAAATAATTAAAATGACCATGTTTTATTTATTTATTTTTTTTTATTTTTTTTCATACTTTGGGCATATTAAAGTTCATGGCAAACAAGATTGGGCCCCACTTACGGCAGCCCATGTGACTTAATCTTTGGCTGGGTAGGCATCAAAATGATGTGTTTTGAGGAAGTCTTGAACAAAAAGCCACACAACAAATTGATGAAGGCTTGAACAAAATGAACCTCACAAGGGATGAGAAAGGTAAGCAAATGCCAACTAGAGGGCTTCAAATCCACTACAGGGAGCAACTCCATCTTACCACATCCCATGAACTAAGGATTCAAACGCCCTCACAAGTTCTTACCCTTGCTACCTTAGTTAAGGTTCGTCTAATTCAACCAAAGGCAATCTCAAAACGTGCATCTCATCATAAAGTTAAGAAAAGACAAGCATTCTAAGGCGCATCATCAAGGAGATAAAGTCCAAATGTACAAGCAAATTCCAAAACACAAACATATCATCTTGCCATAATCATGTTTGTCACACAAAAGAAAATGAAAACAGAACAAAAGAAGGAAGAAATCAAAGAGGTTCACACATGAGGCATATATATCCAAATAAATCCCAATCGACATACGAATCATCATTCGGTATCAACACCAACGATCCCAGATTCCTTGGAACCATATGCAAACAACCTCGAACCATTCAACTTCTTCCTAAACTAAATACACCACAATAAAGAAAAGAAAAAGTAGAGGAAAGATCTCATCCATATGTCTCTTGAAGAGAAATAAAGCAACCTTACAATTTACCATGTCTCTATATGTTGCTTCCAATTTTCTTCTAAGCTACAATAGAAAGAGAAAAACAAAACAAGCATTATAGAGAGAAAAATGTTAGAAAGAAAGAGAGAGAAAATCTATAAACTCAAATATTTGGGCATAACCAACTACCCAAACACATCATCGTCATCATCATAAAAAATAGACATCATCAGCAACCAACAACATCAATGCTACTAAGAGCTTACCAACAACATCCAAACCCAAATCCCCTAAACGTTCCCATGAGTCCTAGGTGCCTTCCCCTACACTTACCCAAAAACACTCCCTTTTGACTCAAACACCCCCCACACTAGATTAAAGCATCGTCCCCGATGCTTCACATGTACATGGAATGAAAGGGAGGGACCATAAAGGGAGGGAACAAACAGACCGAGGGGGAACTATTGGCCACTAGGGCCGGCACCACCGTCATCCGCATTCCAACTATCATAGGAGAAACCTGAGGGGGGCCCATGGGGATCCCAGCCTTCGGTGTAACCAGGAGGCCACCCATAATGACCCTTGAAAAGGTCTAGTTGGGATGCGGACAACTGGTCATATGGATCGGGTTGGACTAGAGGCGAAGGGTGAGAGGGATCAACGTAGGGGTAGTTAGGGTCACCCCGATAATCACTCCCACCCGAAACCTGGTAGTCATAATGATCGGACTCGTCGGGGAAATCAAGTCTTGGCACATTGGAGTACGAGGGACCCTGCCAATAAGGGTACGTAGGTTGGTTGTCACCTCCCCACGATGGCACGAGCCCTTGTTAGGCTGGCACATAAGGGTAGTTGACCGAGGGAGTGACATCCCCTCTACGCACGCTAGCATCGTATAAAGCATTGGTTTGGAAAAAATGGTGTTGTTGGGATGCGATCATACCTTGCATGCTCTCCATTTGGGCCCGCATCGCTGCCATCTCTTGATGGTAGTCGGGTTGTTGATGTTGTTGTTGTTGTTGCCTTCCTTGTCTTTGTTGAAGTTGTTGTTGTTGTTGTTGTTGTTGTTGACTTCGAGGGATCACCTCCACCTCATTCTCATCCTCCTCATTACCATGGCCTTCACCATGACCGTCACCCATTTCCATCCTTGCAATCGGGAGGACACCCGAATCCTTCTTTACCCACCAAGGGTTAACCTCCTCCCTCGTGAAAGAAGTGAACTCCGGCTTGGGGAGGAAACAATGACGCTCGTGGGAGACTAATAAACTCCACGTCCTCCCTCTATCCTCTGTATCTGCGATGAATTTCATTGTTTTCAATTGCTCAAGATCGAGCCAGATATCATTTCCATCACTCTTCCCAATGGGAGTGCAAGAACCCAACTTGCCCATGTGACCCAATTTCTCGGCTAACCGGGTGATCATCCCACCGAAATGTATCTCCCCTTTCCTTGTACCCGAGAGAACCCCTTCAACGCACTTGGTGAATAGGAAACCGAAATTCACTCTATGCCCAAACTCTGGCTGTATAGCTAGCCACAAAATTCGGATTTCCTCCATTGTGATCTTTCCCAAGTCCTGTTTATTAAAAACCATGTACCCGAGAATTCGATGTAGAAGTCTGATGGTAGGGTGCATGATTTGGCTGGCCAAGGAATACTTGGAATTGAAGGCGTCCATTCTTGAGATGACCTTCCACCATGAAAGGGGATTATAATCATGAGGGACCTCATGCTCGGGGAAGAACATATCGGCGTCCGGGTTAAGGTCTAATAGTTGGTTGAATTGGCGAAGGGTGAAGGTTTCTTTTTTGTTGAAAAGTTGAAAGGAGATGGTAAGGTCCTTATCCCCCGCGGCATGACACTCAAAGGAGGCTAGGAACTCAAGAGTGGGCCCCTTATAGGTCCGGTAAGGACTTGTGACATATGAGCCTAGCCTAAGGTTGTTGAATAGGAACCAACAATCGTCGTCAATGCCGAGTTTTGTGGTGGACGGTTGGTGGTAGTGCTTTGTGGGTCTTAGTTTTCGGTTTTGGAGATTTTCATAGATGGGTTTGTGGTTTTTATTGTGGAATTTGAAGGGTGGTAAATGTGGTGGAGTGGGTTGTTCATTTTGTTGGGATATTGCAATCAAACACCTCAACAAATCACCACAACAACAATTCCCCTACTTCAAAAATCCAACACAATGAGCACACTTTCGGAATCACCAAAAACAACCTCAACCAAGCAATATAATCCAACAACTAACAAGGACAACAAGAACTCAACAATTAACCATGATCAATAAGATGAACTAACACAAAGTAGGCATGCAATCATCAAAAATTCCCACATGAAATTCACAAGAAAACTAAAGTGGAAAAGAGATATACCAACAATGAGTACCAAAAACTACTCCAACTATTCCTTTGAAGAAGAGTTCCAAGCCACCTTCAAGGTCCCTTCAATGGTAGATGAGCTATACCCATTTGAAGAAGAACACCGACAACGGGGTTCTTGAATGGTGAAATTTCAGATTTTGGGTGAGAAAACTTGAAGGAAAGTGAGGAAATGTGATGATTTTTGATGAATGTTGATGAGAATTTGAGGTGGGAGGAGTTAGGGTTTGAAGAGGAGTGGAGGTTTAGAGAGAGGGAAGGGGCGAAAATCTGATTTGGGGCAAAATAGTGTTTCGGAAATGCTGAGGAAAAGAACTTAAAATTCGCAGACCCATAAGGCCGCGCCCGCGGGTCAAAGGGTCGCGCCCGCGGGTCCAAGGGCAGCGCCCGCGGGTAAGGAGGCCTCGCCCTCTCTTGGGCATCTCCACTTTCTAAAACTTTCTGAAGAGCAACAGGCCGCGCCCGCGGGTTATAGGGCCGCGTCCGCGGGTTTTGACTGTCCACGCCTGCGTCTTTGGATGCCGCGCCCGCAGCTAGAGATGTCGCGCCCTCTCCAAGGCATCTCCACTTTGTTCAACATTTCTGAAGATTGCCTGTCTGCGCCCGCGGATTGATGGGCCGCGCCCGCGGGTCTTGATGGAGAGCCCTCTCCTGGGCATCTCCAGAAACACAAATAACTCCTTAAGACTTGAGATTAAAAAATTCAATTTCAATCTTCTTCTTTAATTCATTACTCCTCCTTAACACCTCCAATCTCGAATATGTAGACCAAATGCCCAAAGATTCGAGTACCTACAAGAAGAACAAAAACACACACAATAAGATTCTAAAGAGAAATCACCCAAGATTGACTAAATAAAAGAAATACAAGAAAAAAAGAGTTTGAGAACTCGGGTTGCCTCCCGAGAAGCGCTTCTTTATGAGGTCATTAGCTTGACCATAATAACCATCATCAAAAAGGTGGCTTAAGATCCGATGGATCGAGCCTCATGCACTCAATTAGGACAACTTGATCATTGCAAAGGTAGTATTCAAACGATGGCTGTTAACCATGAACTTGTTTCCTTCCGCCTCCAACTCAAAGGACCCGTAAGGAGTAGTCCTCGAAATTGTTAATGGCCCCGACCACTTGGATTTTAAATTTCCGGGAAACAAACGAAGCCTAGAGTTGAATAACAACACCTTGTCTCCAACCTTGAAGCTCTTGTTTCTTATATGTTGGTCGTGCCATCTCTTAGTTCTCTCCTTGTAAAGCCTTGAG